GGGGTTGTGTGATTTAGCTATCATGCCTCATGATTTATCACCAGTTCAACGCTGCTTGAGATCTGAAAAAGTAGAATGTTAATACACATGCAAGGATTAATAGATAGCTAACCCATGATCTAATATAGCTCGCTTGTGTTGCACAAGGTGCTCCTTGTCTCTTGTTGTTGCAGCTGTGTTGTTGTTGTTGGTATTCAGGTGTGATTTTTTGTTCGCTTGTCCATGTTTTATAAATAATATGTATCTTGATTTGTCTGTAAAATTAAAATGACAGCCCATGTTGAAATGTTACCTTAGCATAACCAATAGTTCTTTTGTACAAACATATGCATCAGAGAATGCTTTCTCCGTATTGACCGGCTAAGGAAATCCAGGAATGAAAACAGCTCCTTTAAACATACTGTGAAATAGGAAGGAAAAGAGCATAGAATCACATTTAAATAGAGCCGAATCGAACAATTAGATATATAGAAGGGTGAGAAGGAAATGGTTCTCTCTCAAGAGAGGGTATGTTTTGGTACAATCCAGTGACAGGAATATCTGAGATCGGAGGATTCATGTCAGAAAGTTAAAATATGGAACTAGCAAATCATCATGTATGAAACTAGTAGACATGACAAAGTTTTCTTAGTTTAACCCTGGCACAAGTTGCTCGGCTCAAGGGTAGAAGGAACGGACCTGATTCTAGAAACTGGAGTTGACAAAACAGCTGTTATTGCCGGGTTCCCAAAACCAGGCTTACGGTCACATCACAGAATATGCTTTACATTGTCATTGCAGAAAAATTGAGCGTGGGGAAACAAATGTGGGCTACTGTTCTAATCAATTTGGTAATCAAATAATCTATAAGATGGAAATCAATGTAGAAAACCTGCCACTCTCCTGCAACAGCTCCAACCTTTCCATGGAGTTGGTGGACAAAATAAGACTTGTATCATGTGAGTGGACCAGATCCATAGAGGTTGTCCTGCACTATTAAGACTTCAAATAAAAAACTGAGAAAACAACCCAGTGAGGGATTTCATTACTTCTGGTCCGTGTAAACAGCATCGACATCATCAAGTTCAAGTAATTTAGACATGAGTACTTTGTTCAACTCTACTGCCTCATCATCTACCTGAAAGCCATTCAAACACTAAAATCACTTATTTAATTAAAAAATGCAAGTAAAGATTAGGCTTGCATTGAACAGGCACAAAAAACATTAAAAAAACAAATAAAGATAGGAATTCCATCGCTATGCTGCTAGCATGTTTCGAAATCTTTGGCACTTCGTGTGTGAAAAACACCATAAAAACAATCAAATGCTCATTAGGCAATTCATTGAATCATAAAGTTAATGAAACGACACCAAGAACGGAAAATCAGAGAGGTGAAGAGACAAAATAAGCATTTCAGCACCGTGGACATACCTCAATAGTTGATATGGGAAGTAGCTCAGAGCCATTATCAGTCTCAAAACTTATTCTTTCCTCGCGTAGTTTTGACAAAATTGCTGCATAGTTCTCTGCTGGACTGACAACTTTATAGTAGCTATCAAAAAGGAAAAACAGGCTTTGCATAATTTATCTTTATAGTAGCTATCAAAAAGGAAAAACAGAAAATGATTAGGGCTTTGCATAATTTATTAAAAGAACTCATTAGCCTGGTGAACACCATCACAATCAGATTTTGTGTATACCAGATAAATGTAAATGACACCAAATGGTTTAACCTAATTGTGGCTTTTTGCAATGCATCTTGTATCTATTAAAAAGAATTAAATAATTATTGGGTTCTCCTCACATAATATTTTATTTTCTGCTTCTAGAACAGGAATTTTGAGCACGCATAAGCAAAGCATTTGTTTTCTTCTCTCTCTTTTTTTCTCTTTTTTTGGTCATAGACTTTCCAAACTGAAAATTAGAGGTTCATTGTAATAAATATATATTTGAGGATGGACTTTCCTTGGTAGATCTAGGAATCTAGAAGAACTGCCCCCTTATGAAATCTTGGAAGGAAGACATTGGCTGGTGCTAGTTTAGCTTACATACATTTTATGCCAAACTTTTCATAAAGCTTCCTACAAGATGTCTTAACAGTTCCTTTCATTGCTAGCCTACCGCTTATTTTCACCCAGCCACACATCTGTGAAGTGCAAAAGATGGCTCATCATAAGCTCAAAGTCATCAACATGCAAATACTTATTTGTAACTTGCCTAACATGGTCTGATTTCATAGGTAGTGCTATGAATCAAGAGGAAACAAACTTTGTTTCCCTTGAACATCCATGAGGAGGAGCTTGATTGGTGTTCACTTAATTTGCATGCAAGTTTATGACAATTTTTATAAAGCTTCCAACATGATGTCATCGTGCAACTAGATCTCACCATGAGTATGAAAGGCTACTTCATCATATCACACATATCAGATGCTCAAAAATCCATTTTACTTACGCAAGGACTTCTCACAACTTGTCTACAATGCACCAAGTGATCATCTACAGAATTAATAACTTGTTTCTTCTTTTTGTTAAAGGCTTTGAAATCAACACATCATAGAATATTTGTACATTTGTATCAATAATCTAGAAATTGAAAGATTTGTGAAGCTCGTATGATTTTTTAACATTTAATCCAACTCTGAAGCAATCATCTTTAAAGCTCTATTTCAGAAAAGGGTCAACTAAGAACCACTACAGGAACAAGTTCCAGCACGAAGTATCAAACATCAAAGTCATGGAGGATGGGACAAAAATTTGTGAAACTAGAATTGAAGCGTGGCATCTACAGATTCAAAAGCATCTTTATATGAAATTGGAGGATGGGAGCATTACCTTTCTGACCTATCCTCATCAGAATCATCTTCATATGTTGGAGGTTCAATAACATCCTCGGCACCAGCATCTAATGCAATGCCAAGGAGCTGATCTCTATCAGCATCTGTGACTTTAATATTCACAACCCTGGCACGTCTAAACTTAAACAATACAGATCCTGGATCCGCCATCTTTCCTCCATGGTCCTTGACCACCTCTCTGATAACTGCCACGGATCTTTTTATTTTATCTGTCGAGACCTCCACTACAATACTAACTCCACCGAGACCATATACCTAATGTGGAAGAAGCAGTTTATTTGAAGAAAATCAGATTGAAATAACTAATAGGACCAGCTTAAAAGAATCCTCCTACATGTATTGAATCTTAGCAGCCCCTGATAACAGGATTGATGATAATCATACCAACCTCATAAATTTTCTCAATGAAAGCCTCTTGTCCCTTCTCAGAAGCCCTCTTGATATTGCGCTCCAAAATTTCCTTGGGTACATCAAGCTCCTTGAATTTATCAATTAAAGCAGCCAGAGCTGTATTTGATTCTGGATTTGCACCGCCTTTCTTTACACTGCATCACTCAATAGAATTACAATCCATTTCAAGAAATAGAAATAAAACAACAACTTATTTTTTCATCACCCTGAAAGCAAGAAATACGGTGGCTATAATTATAAGAACTGGGTCAAATCCCGATGATCACAAACCAAAGAAAATGTTCTGAAGTAAAGTTTTATCCACAGCCTATTTAGAAGCAACCAACTTACGCAGATACAACTTCCTTCCCAAGCCTACAATACAATTTTGCCTTCTTTGCATCTTGAGCTCCCTGCATTTGAGGCACATTCATAAACCTAAAGGTAGAATACAACAAAAATCCCCTTGTAACTTTGCATTTTCACCGGTTAATGATCCTTCCTAATTGATATTGCCGCATCCAATGACAAAGGAACAAAAACTTTACTAGCATCTATCATTCATAGTCATACAAATTGGAATTTCGGAGGTTTAAACTTTAAAGCAACAATTAAAAAGAAAAAGATTGAGAATTTACAGATCAAACTAATATTATTAGAATCTGTTTTAGGCTTTTCATCAAACATGTGATATTCAATCAATTTAATAAGGCACTTGCTGTTGAAACCTTCTAAAACCCAACACGGAGATAAAAGGAGGGACCTTTCTGCCAGCAATTTTGCAAGAACGCCTGCCCATACAAACAGGAGGGAAAGTCCATATCTTTCTAACATTATTGACTTGATAGCCACTACTGTCCCTGTGTTTCTCTTCATATAGCAATAACAAACTAGAGGAATTGCTACTATTTGATGATAATGATGCATCCCCGCTTCCAAGAAAAACACCCCCTGAATCACATCAATAACAACAACCCTTTATTTAGAATCACTTAAAACATGAAATATGATTGAAATAAATGAGAAATATACTTATTTATTTGTTTAAATGGGCTTACTTTGAATTGAAAGTGAATGTGTTGGACATTTTAAAGAGATCCCATTTGAGAACCTGTGGAGAATCGCACCTACTCTTCTCATTTGATTTTGTTTTTATTGAAAGACTACTTAGCAGTTGCAGCTACAAAATCTTGTCTCTACAAAGGTGCAATGCCCATGTGTGAAAATCCCGGAATTGTTTTAGAGCTTTATCTGTCTGTCCATCCATTAGTAAAGTAATGGACTAGACCTGTGTCCCCTGCTCGGGTTCTGAGGCCCAGATTCTTTTGGGTCTAATATACCTACAGATTTGTTCTTTTTAAATTTTGATGATGGGGGATCTGAAGCTGAGCATTCCAATTTCTAAAGCTCCAAATTTTAGTCCTTAATCATAAAAGGGTATCTGATTGGTTTTATATTAATTTTAGGTAAGATTTATTGTTCTCAAATTATAAGAAACTTTAAAATGAGCGGCATAAATATGTTAACTTTTGCATTGTGTACAAAGAAACGTTTCATTGTGTACTCATTGTGTACAATTTTCTTCTTTTTTTTATCAATTTTTTATTGGGTGATTTCATCATTTGTGACTCAATTGAAGGTCAATTGATTCATATTTGCCAGTGTGAATTTTTTATGTAAAAAGACATAATGAAACAACATGTATAAGTGGTATTTTTTTTAAGCTTAAAAAGAAGAAAAAAACAACAAAATTTCCCTGTTTGAACAAGGGCTTTCAAATGTTACTTTTTATTGCAGGATTTGATTCCTGCACTTGCATCATTAGACCAAATCGAACGGTTTCCAGAATCATCGACTCTCAATCTGAGACACTTGACTACCCTCGGATTGCTCCTATGGAACAAAAAAGCCGACACTAGAGCAATTGAAAAGAGTGATTAACAAACACGGATGTGTATTGACCATATTTACTGTCTGAAGTTATCTAGCAAAGAAGTTTGTAAACTCAGTGCAGAAACCACGTATTCATTGCCCTTGGAGCTTCAGTTCAACTGTTGCTTAGCTTCTCCTTCGCGTATAGCTCTACACATGAAAGAAGTGGATGCTATATACAAGTAAACCTGTTCATGGTTTACTTGAAAGAAAAGAATACCCAGATAGTGATCAGACTGTAAATTTGACAGCCAAGAAGTCTCTGGTGTACATTATTCCATTATCTAGATCAATCACAAAGTTCACAGCCCTTCTATCCATAATTTCGACTATCCTCCACACATTCAACAAACAAACTTGACAACACATGTATGAAGCTCTGTTACTCTGTTGATGAGCTTCACATAGTAAATAGAGATCAGTTAATTCTTCTTGTCTTTGTAGAGTTGAATGGAGTCATCCCAAGCCTTAAAGGTAATAATGATTATAAGAGAATCACTTTGCAGGGATGCCCATAAGTCACACAGCAAATAAAGTGAATCGCGAGCAGCAGGAACTACCTTGAGATGTTTTTTTTCCATCTCATCTAAAACAGTTCTAGTTTTGTAGAAAATGACCTCATAGAGGGCTGATGCTTTGTCTTCCTTTGGCAGCGTGGTGAGCCAAAATCCATATCAATGTACCCCCAAAATTTGGTTGTTTGAAAAGAATACAAGCTGCTATTAATTCAGTTACGACAAGGCAGCATTGGGAAGGACACCGGTTTTTATGCGGAGTGTAAAACAACAGATCGTCTGCCTCTGATGGTAAAGGATAAAGAGCTCCTTAAACTTATGGGATAAAAACTTGACACACCGACATTAATTCTTATCTTCCCAGATAGAGTAATGACGATCATCAACGTCTTAGTGCTACTATCTGTATGCCCTGAACAACTTTCTAGCTCAACCTTGATTTCGTCCGTCAAATTTGACTTCACGGATTAATAGGAAACCAACTATTAATAACTAAAGAAGCAGGGATAAATTTCATCAATGTAAACAAGTTACTATAGAAAACGAAATAAACACACTCTTGCAGGTTAAAGAATCTTTCTACCTATGGAAATACAGAAACTTTTTTTTTTCTCCCCTTCTCTGGTCTCCACAGAAACTAACAAGCAAGGAAATTTTGTTAACATTCAAACATAGAAATGCCAAACATAATGAAAATCGTTCAGCAATCAAAAGGAGCATGAAATTTACTATTTCACTGACCTGTATAATCCCAGGTATCCAGCATAAACATTTTTTGCCCTCTTTTTATCCATCATCGTTATCTCCAATGCAGCTGACAAAACCTGCTAATGTTTTCCTGCATCCTCATTGGTACCCACATCTTCAATCCTTTATCAAGCACAATAGACCTCAATGACTTGCATTTCAACACCATATCCACATCATCCCCACAAATGGTGTAACAAGAAGCCAACACTAATGATTCCAAACACTCATGATAACCAAGGGCACGAATGCCAGCTCCAGTAATCATCTCACACCCAGTTAAATCAAGAGCTACCAAATTCCTACAATTCCCAGCTATTGCAACAAGTGTAATATCTGACACATTGATCAACCATGAAAGATTCATTCTTTTAAGACTAGCAATCGAGGCAACTGCCGTACCTCCATTATCTGTCACTTTTGGCCCACATTCAGCCAAATTCAACTCCTCCAAACAACACATCCCCTGCAACAATGACACCCCGAAATCAGTAAGTCTATCACATTCTGCAAGAACCAACCTCTTTAATGTCCTTGAAGAAGACCCGGTTGCCAAAAAGTTCAAACCTTTATCAGTAACTAAAGAACAACCTTCTAAATTCAAAGCCCGAATTGAATTCATACACCCAATTGCTTCAAGTGATGAATCGTTTATCAAACTACACCGCCCCAAATCTAAAACACTCAAACTTTGTGCACACTTGACAAGACTAATAACCCCAACATTCCCAACCCTCCTTCTCCTTCTAAACAACACTTTACATAATTTGCAACAGCCATTCGCAATAGCTAAAACACCAACATCATCAAAATCTAATAAGTCATCAAACCCATCAAGTTTTTGGCTTTCAGCTGATTGTTGCTTGAGATTGAGAAACTCAAGTTTAGGACATGTATTGGCTATGAATTCAAGGTGGTTGTTGGTGATTCGTTTTGAAGACTCAAAAGTTAACAAATTTGGGAATCTGGGCAAGAATTTATGGAGTAGTTCGGGTTCAAAAACGCGAATTGATAAACGAGCCTGGCCTTCTACACTAAGCCATTGCTTGCATACTAGAGAGAATGATTGTCTGTCATTCTGATCAATAACCCAGCTGATAATTAAGGCCAACTCATCATCACCTAGTTTTGACATGGTTTTATTGAATGAAACTATTCGGGGTACTACACAGAGTTGAGATTTTAGAAGCTTGCCGGTCTCATCTCGTGTTGATGTGTACGCACTCCTTCTGTTGTGCTACAATTCTTGCACGAGGTCCCTCGAGTTTCTTAAACTACTTAGATTAATCCCTGACCTTTAATTTTGGGTTCGACAACCCTCATGCTTTCAATTCTAAGTCATATTTAGTCCCTGCATACAACTCCTACTTGATAATCAACACCTACAATGATAAATTTAAGAATATATAGTTAGATGAAAAGAGAATACCGCAAAATTAGCCCACTAGAATAGAGTGGTCAATCTCGTGCGTGGCTCAAGATCGAAGGGCAATGGTAAATGCGGGCATTAGCTCGAAGACCTCTGTATTTTTTTTTTAATTAACAAAAACATAGAAGAATTCAGTTTTTTTTATTGTATATCAAGATAATGATCCTTGTCCATCATTTTTTTATTTCAAGAAAGATCTTTCAACCTTTTTTCTAGGGAAAATAAAATTTTTCTTATAATTCATTATTTATTTTCTGATTGGATAAGATAAATCTATTTTTTTATATTTTATCAGTAAATAAAACAAAAAAAATTAATTAATTTACGTGCAAGATGTTTTTTGTTTTTCTATTAGTTTTTGAGTTATTATCTGGTTGAATGGGGTATAATTTGATATTTTAATACATCTGAGAATGTTTTTTATCCATTTTAGCCACTTAAAAATATTAATTGATGATTTTTAGTGGTTGGAAATAAATAAACCCTAAGCAGTGAGATCCACCAAACCTTTTTCTACACACATATGGCGTCACACGTGTCCCATATGTATTTTAAAAAAAATAAATAAATGAGTGTCGATATTGAATACTTGCATATTCTTAAATTTTGTACATATTCTTAAATTTTGTACATTCCTTGCTGAAGTATACAATGTACTTGTTGTACATATAGTTTCTCTTTTTGAAGATATTTAAAAGAAAATACAGTCATTTTTATAAAATTATTTTATGCTTTCATAAAAAAATTATTTTTTTCCTATATCATGATTATGCATATTGATGTACTTTTAATTAAAGTGTTTGTCATTATAATGTGTACACCGATGAATATTGGAAGATGACATTGTAAGAGAGCAAGGATGAACAGAGTTATAAAATTTTGTTTGGATTTTAATAGATTGCTCGGTAAAGTGATTCAATTCGGGTTCTTAAAAATTTTAATTTTTTTAAATTAATATTTTTTATTATTTTAATATATTGCTATCAAAAGTAATTTTAAAAAATAAAAAAATTATTTTAATATATTTCTAAATAAAAATATTTTTAAAAACAACTAAATTTCTAAATACATTCTAAATTTAGGATTGATTTGAGCCGATGATAATTATAATGTTATGATAAAAAAAAACAGTTTTTTCATTGAATCAATTAAAATCAAACTCTAATTTGATAAAGTCATCAAGTTAGTCTATTAGGCTAGATTTAGGATAGATAATGTGTTTATAAATAAGTCAAATTCAAAGAGAAAATGTTTATAAATGAGGTAAAACTTAGATATAATTCAACAAGAAAAAAAAACAAAAGAGCTAAGCATTTTACTGTTTCATCTACTGTAACCCATGGATTCAAAAGGTGCAATTTTTTAAAAAAAAATTCAGTCTTGAATTTTTATTTTTTTTATTTTTTTGTCTCGTCTAGCCGCTTTCCTAGGAATATTCCTTTAAACATGCTACATGCTTGAAATATTTCAAAAAAAAAAACACAAAAATAGATAATTTTTACAGAAAAAAATTAACAAAAAAAAACCATAAAACTTTTTTAAAAAATAGAAATGAGAGCCTGGGTTGCAATTAAATGCCTTTTCGGGCCATTAAATCGTCAGCTTAGAGATTAGATTGGGTCGGAATTTTGTCCAAACCAACTCCATCTATTACTTAGATTTCTTGGTACCACAGCGGAAAGCCTAATTTCTACAACCACCACCCATCCCTCTTGATGCCTACATTATGATGAACATATTAGAACACAATTGAGTTTTTTTTTTTTAATGAACCCATGGATTCAAAAGGTGCAATTTTTTTTAAAAAAATTCAATCTTGACCACACCTACAATTATAGTAGCTAATAATCGATATTGTCGTAGAGTTTTTCGCATGTAAACACCTATTGTACAGGGATTCAATTGCGAGCACAGACAAAGTTTAGGGACACAAAATATAGCTTCCCCCGTGCCCTAGACGCCTGGTGAGAAACAACAGTGTGAATTTAGCATCTAGGAATGACAAGAGCAATTTGGACTTTGTATTGGCATTATTGGATCAAGCAGTTGGCAGTTGGCACATTGCATGATCAAGAGCATGTGATGTGTTGTCTATGGCCACCATTTTCTCTCTTTTAAAAACACCGAAGTCAGCATCATCGTCACAGAACAGGATTTTTTTATCTTTTCTTTTAAACATGGATTCAGTTCCAAGGAATGAAACACTGTCATTCACTGAGAAAAATCAGAGCAAGAATTCCCATGACAGTAGGTATGATATGCGAGCAAATCAATGGAGAAATAATTCACATAAAATGGAATTATTATTATTATTGTTATCTTTATTAACAAAGATTTTCCTTGTTAAAAGTGCTAAATACCACGACTAAACTGTTCACATAAAATGGAATTATTATTATTATTAACAAAGATTTTCCTTGTTGAAAATGCTAAATGCCACCACTAAACTGTTTTTTGTTGAATAATTTTTCGTGTTTTTCATTGTCTGAACAATGGCACCATATCATCGGCTGGTCATAATCTTTGCCAACAACAGGTAAGAGAAGCAGCTTTATCACTTTAGCTGATTAAGGGTCCCAGTCATAATCATAGATTGAGCACTTTAGCTTTTTTTTTTATCCACCTGTTTAGAACCATCTGCAGCGAAGATTCCTTGTAATTGCGTCTAACTCTAGTTGGTGAGCAGATGTGAGAATTTTAGTGACAATTTCTTAAGACTTAATTCTTTTGGTATAGTGATTCTTTTTCCTCCATTGATAACATTTATAACCATTCAACGTAAAAACCATAGCTGCCATACTTGAACTTGTCTCGGCCTGGCCACGGTGCTAATCGAGTTACAGCTTTGTCATGTTTGGTGTCGACCAACCTCATTTCATAAATAAAAAATTGCCAGGTCCATGTTGGGCTTAATTATTACAGGCTTATGATGTAGCCCCGGGCGCTTATTCCAGTAGACAAATAGGATGTTCAATTTACAATTTCTTTCTGGCAAGCAGAGTAGAAATAAGAAAATTTAAAGCAGGAGAGAGGCTATGTCTGCGAGAAATCCAGAACAGCATGCATTCATGTAATGGAAGCACATTCTCAGTAATCGTGGGCTCCAACCTGGTTGCTTCCTTTCTCTTCCTCTCGAGCTAGCAAAGCTGTGAGACCTGGTTCACCTGGCATGGCAATACTCCAGAATCCACCACCCCCCATGGGTCCAACAAGTTTGGGGGACTCGTCTCTGTGATGGTGCCGATTTTGCTCTTGTTTCATGTCCTGGGTCTCCCCTCTTCCTATGGATATGGACATGTTCTTAAGAATCCAAAGGGGACAGCATTTATTGAGAAATTTATTATAAAATAATATGAATTATAATTTAAATGTTATCTGAAATTTAAGTTTTTGAATTGAATTAATTATTTAATTTTGCATCGGACCTTCATAACCAGACAATTATAAATTTAAATTTTACTATATTTATTTATTTAATATAAATTAAATTAAAGATAATATGAATATGTGTAAATTTTAAATTAAAAGAACTTTTATTTAAAAGATGTATTGAAGAATAATATAAATTATATATGAAATTTTATTTAAAAATTTAAACTATTAAATTAAATTAGTAATTTACCGATTAAAAATCAATGAATCTTTTAATAATAATCAATTTACATAGAAATAAAAGCAATGTTAATCTCACTTCCCAAATAACACTTCATTGATTTCTTAAATTACTATTCATCTTTTTCTATGATAAAAGATTGAGAAAAACTTAATTTTTATGGACTCAATTTGACAGGTTGATTCTGTAATTGAATTATTTCTTGTTTCAACCATAATTTTGATTTTCCATCTATAATTTAAAACTTTTTAAAATCTATTTTTTTAAATTATAATAACAAAAATTATCATAATACCAAATAAATATTTTAACCTGGAAAGCTTAAACACTTAAAAGTAATAAAAATATATCAAAAACTTAATACTGATATTTTAACTATGAGCTAAAAACTTAATACTGATATTTTAACTATGAGTTAATTTATTTTTTTATTTTAAAAGTGCTTTTAAAAAATTAAATTTTATATATTTTTTATTCAAATTAATTTTTTTATATTTTTATATCACCTTGATATATTAATATTAAAAATAATTTTTTAAAAATAAAATATATTATTTTAATTAAAACATAAATATTACTACATCATGTGTAGTAATTAAAAAATAAATTTTCAAACCACCCCCTATATCATCATGTGTAAATAAATGTTGTCGTTCACCGCTTGTTCCGGTCAATCTCAGTATTAGCTGAGGGAATAATTAAGTAACAACCACCAATTAAATAAAAGCAACTTATGGTTGAAAAAGTAAATAAAGGCGGTGTCATTATCTCTAGTATTTTAGCTTAATATAATAGAACTGGGGACCAATCTTATAGGTTTAAGGTTTGGGACTACATTGAGAATCTAATGATAGATTGAGGACTAATCCGAGGCTTGACCATTTTCTTTTATTAATTTTCTCGGCAGAAATCATTTAATTATAGGGCCGTGCCAGTGCCGTATCCATAATTTCTTCGAAGTTCGGGGACCCAGTCAAATTAACATTGTGAATAAGCACCTGCAGAAGTCCTCCTCTGCAATTACTGGTCACTGTAATTATGCTAATTAATTAATCAGTGAAGATGACCACAACTATATTATTAAATTACATAATGTTTAATTAAAGTGTCTGCCAACCTTTTTCATTGAAGAAAGAGAAACCTCTTGCGTGATGATCCTCCCCACCTGCTGCCCCACCAATCAAGGATTAAAACACTTTAAATCCAACCTGATGCCTTGATATCCCAGCTTGCCTTGTTTTCCCTTTCTTTTCCGTGTTCCTAAACAAAGTTTGACGGCATGGCTACACGGCTTAGGCCACGTAGCCCCCGCGCCCTCATGTGGGGCAGATACAATTTTTCCAAGGGATTAAAAAAAAAGAAAGATTAAGGCAATCTCGAGTTATTAACTGGTTTAATAAGACTACTTAATTTAAATAAAAATAATATAACAGTAATAAATAAATTGCAAAAAAAAGTTAGTTAACAACTTCAACATTTACGGGTTAGTATAACAAATTCATAATTTAATTCTGATTATATAAAAAATAAATACTAAGATCAGCATAAAAATAATTTGAAATCAAATATTAAATAGTAAAATTAAAAACAAAATTTAATTGGAAAACAAAAATAAATAGAAATTAAAAGAATAAATACTAAATCTAATATAAAAATTAAATAAAATCAAAGAATAAATGATGGTATTGAAAAAATAAATCAATAAAATAAATAAAAATTAAAAATTAAAAATCATATTGGATAAAAAAATAAATATGTAAAATAAAATTACATATTTATTTTTTGACAACAAGAAAATAAAAATAAAGATAAGAAGTCTACCGAAGCTCAATCATTACTCAGCCACCTATATGCACAGCCAGAAAGATCAAGTTGAACTGCTTCCACCATGGTTATAAAAGATAGTGTTTGGACATTGTTTCAAACAATGTCGCATACATCAATAAATAACTTATTTTAATATATACATAAATACTCTGGGTACAAGTTTTAATTAATTTGATTTAATGGGCATGGAAGTCGTTCCTTAAAAATATAAAAAACCAAATTAATCCTCTTGAACCTTTTAACTAAATCTACTTTTAAGTAGTGTTGCTTATAAAAGGTCAAGAAACGAAATTATCATCAATTAAAAAGGCTAGATTACTTCAAGAGCAAGTTCCTTTTTTTTTTTAATTGTAATACGTGTCCACGTACACTTGTTTTCTCATGGCTTTTATTTATTTTTAAATAATTATAATATATACTCGATGTGAGCTGTAATTGCCACCACCGTTGCCCCCTTCACATCATCATCATCATCCAAACTTACACATCCAATCCAACGCCAGCACTTGTCCATGTCAATCCTGCAGACAACAAAATCTCACCCTCTTCCCTTCTTCCTGCCCTTTATCAGCGTCAAGCTCCACCCTAGTCTCGAAATTAACCTAAATGTTTTCCACGTCATCAGAATTCAGAGATGGGGATATTTAAGACACGATGTACTAGCAGTCGATGGAGGCGTTGAAGCGTAATTGACTGTTTTACAGAATGATTGTGATTATTTATGATGTATTTTTTTACGATGGAGGCGTTGAAGCGTAATTGACTGTGTTTACAGAATGATTGTGATTATTTATGAAGTATTTTTTATTAAAATGTATAAAAATAATTTTTTTATTTTTTAAAAATATTTTTTTAAATCAGTATATTAAAATAATCTAAACTGTATAAAAAAATAATTTTTAACAAAAAATTTAAATTTTAATAAGCTTTAATACTTCTATATGTTACCATTATCACACAACACACTGCTAATATTTTTTTATATTATTATTATTATTATTATAGATATTTAGTTTAGTTTATATCTTCACTAATTTTATTGATTTTAAAGTAATAATCCATTATCACACAACACACTGCTAATATTTTTAATATTATTATTATTGTTATTATTATAGATATTTAGTTTAGTTTATATCTTAACTAATTTTATTGATTTTAAAGTAATAACTATATAAATTTTTAATAATTTTAAAATTTAAAAAGTTAAAAAAATAAATTTAAAATATACAAATTAAACTACAGATCTTAATTCACGGAGCTAATGCTCTTAAAGCATCATTCAGTTTGTCTTCACAACTTGAACTTGTGTAATATGCTAATGCTCTTAAAGCATCATTCAGTTTGCCTTCACAACTTGAACATCACAGAAATATATGCATTTGATCAACATGTCATCTTCTTCCTTTTCTTCTATTTTGCGTGTAATAGTGATTTAGTTGTTATATTTTAGTATTTGTTCAGTTATCAACGAGAATAAAACTAAATGAATTTAAAATAATATTATTTTTTATCTACAAAACCGGGTCTTCATTAGATTAACAGGTCGCAGGTTATGACCAGATCATTTCAATTTTCAAGATTGATTTTGTTTTAAACCTTACCTGGAACAGGAACAGGTCCGGGTCCGGGTCGGTCGAGTCTCGAGCCAAACTGCAGCCTGCCGTGTGATATCAGTGTTTAAAATGTAAATTATTTTTAAGCAAGGCAAATGGTCCCACGTAGGTCAGGTACACAGTAAAACACCGCACCATATCAGTCGCACTACAGCACTTAAAAAAAAAAAAAACTAAAATAAAAAAAACCAAAAAAATAATTCTTTTCCCATTTCTTACGTTTTTTTTTTTTTGGTATACACTATAATAGTGGTAGTTTGTATATGAAGAGTCTCTCTCTCTCTGTCTCTCTCTCTCGAGCGAGAAAAACAAAAGAAGAAGAAAAAATGGCTTCTCTCTTTAGAGACCTCTCATTAGGCCACTCGAAGAGAGAGTCACCACCGCTAAAACCACCGCTAAAACCACAGCAATTATCCATAATGCCCTCTAAACCCATTATCACCACCACTGATCTCGACTCGCCACTGGGTCAACTCGCTACCCAACTCACCGATCCCGACCTCCGATCTACCGCTTACGAGATCTTCGTCGCCGCTTGCCGTACTTCCTCAGGAAAGCCCTTAACGTACACCCCCAACCCGTCCAATTCTGACTCAACCACGAACCACTCGAATCACTCCCCTAACTCGCCTGCTTTACAACGCTCACTCACCTCTGCTGCTGCTAGCAAGATGAAGAAAGCTTTTGGGCTGAAGTCTCCTGGTTCGGGCTCTAAGAAGAGTCCTGGGTCGGGTTCGAGTTCTGGGTCGGGTCAGGGGAAGGTGAGGAGAGCTTTGACCGTTGGTGAGTTGATGCGGGCTCAAATGCGGGTCAGTGAGACTGTGGATTCTAGGATTAGAAGGGCTTTACTGAGGATTGCTGCCGGTCAGGTTGGCTTTATTTTATTTTGTTCAATCTTGATTTTCCTTTGATGGTTTTATCTGTTATTTTTTTTTTTTAAGTTTGATTTGGTAAAGTTTGATGCTTTGTTGGATAAATAATGTGGATCATGACTGATTTTATGGTAAAGGGAAAAACTCTAAGCTCAAAACTGTGGTTAGTTAAAAAAGGAGAGTTAATAATGTAGTTTTATTATGATTTTTTTTAACTAAAAAGAGAGGTAAGTTTTTCTCTATTCTTTTATATATTTCTGCTGTTAATTTTTGAAAGTTTGGAGCTGAATGGTTCTAGAATGTTTCAGTTGTCAATGTGCTACAATGGGATTATATGTGGAGAACAATGAATATATCTTCTTTTCTTTGTGTTGTTTTTCTGAATTTAATACTTTGATCGATATGAATTATTATCCAAGCGTGGTTTCCTTTGCTCATGGTGTGTATTTTATCTTTATTATTGTTAAAACTGAAATACCATTTTACTAATTGCTATAAACTCATGGATAATTATGCATTTGATCGCCTCTTTCTTTTGTGCTTGCCTGTGGAGTCTTTTTATAGTTTGCTTAGCTGAGGTAGCATTTGACCACTCTCACGTTCATGGCTGTTTTGGACCCCTATTAATGTGCTTGTTACAGGTTGGGAGGCGAATTGAGTCAGTTGTTCTTCCGCTGGAGCTGCTGCAGCAGCTCAAGCTTTCGGATTTTACTGATCAACAAGAATATGAAGCGTGGCAGAAGAGAACCATGAAAGTTCTTGAGAATGGACTACTTCTGCATCCTCATGTGCCACTTGATAAGTCAAATCCTACTTCACAGCGGCTGCGGCAAATTATTCAAGGAGCTATGGATAGGCCTATAGAGACTGGAAAGAACAATGAGTCTATGCAAGTGCTTCGCAGTGCTGTTATGTCCTTAGCTAGTAGATCTGACGGGTCACTCTCAGAGATATGCCACTGGGCTGATGGGATTCCATTGAACCTTCGACTCTATGAAATGCTTTTACAAGCCTGCTTTGATGTTAATGATGAAACATCTGTAATTGATGAAATTGATGAACTTTTGGAACACATAAAGAAGACTTGGACAATCCTTGGAATGAATCAAATGCTCCACAATCTTTGCTTCACATGGGTTTTATTTCACCGCTTCGTTGCAACTGGTCAAGCAGAAACAGATCTGCTGGATGCAGCTGATGGTCAGCTAGCAGAAGTTGCGAGAGATGCAAAGACAACAAAGGATCCACAATACTCCAAGATTTTGAGTTCTACATTGAGTTCAATTTTGGGATGGGCTGAGAAAAGGCTTCTCGCATATCACGACACTTTTGACAGTGGGAATGTTGAGACCATGCAGGGAATTGTTTCTCTGGGGGTGTCGGCAGCCAAGATTTTGGTTGAGGATATATCTAATGAGTATCGCAGAAAGAGAAAAGGTGAAGTGGATGTGGTTCGTGCCAGGATTGACACATATATCAGATCCTCACTGCGCACTGCTTTTGCTCAAGTAAGTCTTTGCAACCTATTCGATAGATTCAAGAACCATAATGTTTCTCACTGTCCTTGCTCTTATTTATAGTATGAGAACACTTGTTATTTCTATGCTTCATGAACCTATAGGAATGGGATTCAGAATGCAGTACAAGCTACAGTATTGCGTACTTCGTCAGCACATTGTAATAGTTAGTTCTTATAAAGGATTGAGGCACATGTCACATCACTTTTCTTTGAAGATCTGCTCAATAGTGTAAGGTGTGTGACAAAAGAATATAAAGAATGGAATACAGGCTTCCTTTTTAAAAAAAAAGTCCAGAGTTTTACTATCAATCAGATCTAAAAACAATTTCTTTTGGTGGCTTTAGATTTTCTTTTTATTCTGAGATGAGTGGATGCAATATTTCTTATATGTTTTGCATGTATATAAGCAATGGTTATTCAAATAGGGTTAGGATAGCTGTCAAGAGGTCAACCCAGTGCTACCTGTGATTAGCTCAGTTCAAGCTCAGATTAAGTGCGACCTTATAAATAAAACCAAGCTTCTAGTAATTTTTTGACTTTTGGCAAGCTGCTTTATGAACATTCTAATTGTATTGAGAGAGAGAGAGAGAGAGAGTGTGTTTATATCATTTTTTTTTGGCTGTTTAGATGACTGTTTGATTTGGCATAAAATAGAGAATGGAGAAAGCAGACTCAAGCCGGAGAGCATCCAAAAACCAGCCAAATCCTCTTCCTGTTCTTGCCATCCTTGCAAAGGATGTTGGTGAGTTGGCAGTTAATGAGAAGCAAGTATTTAGTCCGATACTGAAAAGATGGCATCCTTTCTCAGCTGGTGTTGCTGTGGCCACGCTTCATGCTTGCTATGGAAATGAGATAAAACAATTCATATCTGGTATAGCGGAATTAACACCAGATGCTGTACAAGTGCTTAGAGCTGCAGATAAGCTGGAGAAAGATCTTGTGCAGATTGCTGTAGAAGATTCAGTGGACAGCGATGATGGTGGGAAGGCAATAATCCGTGAAATGCCTCCTTATGAAGCTGAAGCTGCAATTGCTGATCTGGTAAAAGCATGGATCAAAGCAAGACTAGACAGGCTCAAGGAATGGGTTGACAGGAATTTGCAACAAGAGGTATTTGCTCTTTATTTTTAACTTTTTGTACTGTTGTTTCTGTCTGGATTTTGCTATCATTGCATCCACCACTGCACAACTTGTCAGATTTATTCTATTGAATTTGGTAGCTATGGCAAGATTGACATGTGTCAGTTACTGTTGGCTATCACAATGTTACAAGACTTACTAAAAGTTAAATCCATTATGCGATTGCAATCTTGTTCTGTAAAAAGAGCTGACCTCTGAAGGAGACATACCTCGAGGAGGCTAGAGTTGAATGTTGGCTATACTGCAACCAGATAGTGTATGATTGGACAGTTTGGCCATTGATGTGGCTCTGTTATGACAGTTATGATAGTTTGCAAACTTGAGATTGATTGTGCAAGCATTTTCCTATCCGTTCATGCTGTCATAGGCACTGATCTGTTGAATTTCTCAGTAACTGTCAGTCTTGATTGTCCTTTCTTTTCTTGATGCATTTTCATTTGTTTTTACCTTACCCTGAGTTAACTAGCTTGCTGCAATGTGTAGGTCTGGAATCCGCAGGCAAATCAAGAAGGATATGCTCCCTCTGCTGTTGAAGTTTTGCGGATTATTGATGAAACTTTGGATGCATATTTTCAGCTGCCAATACCAATGCATCCGGTGTTGCTACCTGATTTGATGACTGGCCTTGACAAATGTCTTCAGTATTATGCAACTAAGGCAAAATCTGGCTGTGGTAAATGTTTGCAAAGATCAAATAATGTCCATGGCTTCACGTTTTTTAGTTTCTAACAACTGAAATCATTCAATCTGATATGTAGGATCACGGAATACATATGTTCCAACTATGCCAGCATTGACCAGATGTACTATGGAATCAAAGTTTGCATGGAAGAAGAAAGAGAAGTCAGCAAACACTCAAAAGAGGAATTCTCAGGTTGCAACAATGAATGGGGACAATTCTTTTGGGGTTCCTCAGTTGTGTGTTCGTATAAATACTTTGCACAGAATCCGATCAGAGTTGGATGTTTTAGAGAAGAGAATAATAACCCATTTGAGGAACTCAGAATCTGCACATGCAGAAGACTTTTCAAATGGTTTGGCAAAGAAGTTTGAATTGACACCAGCTGCTTGTATAGAAGGAGTTCAAGCACTCAGTGAGGCTGTTGCTTACAAACTCGTTTTCCATGACTTGAGTCATGTTTTCTGGGATGGTTTGTACGTTGGAGAACCATCATCTTCTAGGATTGAACCTTTTATCCAGGAGGTTGAGCAGAATTTGCTGATCATTTCAAACATCATGCATGAAAGAGTTCGTCCACGTGTTGTTACTGACATAATGAGAGCTTCCTTTGATGGATTTTTGCTTGTTCTGCTTGCGGGAGGCCCTTCTCGTGCTTTCATGCGTCAGGACTCTCAGATAATAGAGGATGATTTCAAATCCCTTAAAGATCTATTTTGGGCCAACGGGGATGGCCTGCCTACTGAGTTGATAGATAAGTTTTCAACTACAGTCAGAAGTATACTTCCCCTTTTCCGAACAGATACAGAGAGTCTCATTGAGCGTTACAGACGTGTTACGTTGGAGACATATGGCTCTTCTGCCAGGTCTAAACTTCCATTACCTCCAACTTCAGGACAGTGGAATCCTACGGACCCAAACACACTTCTTCGTATGTTGTGTTATCGGAATGATGAAGCAGCATCGAGGTATCTTAAGAAGACTTACAATTTGCCCAAGAAACTGTAATACACTGAAGCGCTGCACATGGTAACAAGTCTGGTTCTACTTGTCTGCAGCCAAGATGAACCAAGCAAAATACTGCCTATGGCATGCTTGGATAAGCTGGGCCTTTTTAGGAAGTTGCAGGAAACTTGTATAGTACACTGAAAGTGCCTCTGGCTCTTTACCAGGACCAGCAATCCCGAGTGAAGAAAATTGATAGGGCATGAGTCTTTCCATTGCGAAGCTTGTTTGTTGACTGAAGTGGTAGAGGATCCAACATTATTTATTTGATTATATATTCACAGCTCTACAGATTTCTCTGTCCATTCCCTACTGCATATTTTTTGTACCTTTCCGAGGTTCTTTTTTCTTATCTCGATAAATTCCATGCTAGTGAGATGTATTTCTTTATTAAATGGTGCAGGCCTGGTATAGCATCATCATGTTGATTGTAGTGCTTGTATTTTTATTTTATTTTTCTATTAGCTTTGTATTATAAAGGCAGCCCCTTCTCTTGATTATTTGATTTGTTTCCCTGTTTCTGTTTGTTCTCCCCCTCTGAATCTTTCCTCCATAAGGGACTCGTCTATATGTCAACTCTAACTGCGCATCCCAGCCTCCTTGATCCTCCAATCGGCTGGTCTTCATGACCCCTACTTGTTTTCTGCAGTGTAAGCTTCAGAAGTCACTTAAAACGGTCGCAATTAAACGGTCGCAAGTTTTTACACTTGAAAAAGGGAGTGCGGTAATGCTGAGCATGTGACAGCATGCATTTGTTCAGACCGAGAAGGAACACCAATTTGTCGAGACGAGGAACACAAAAATTAGGTTTACACATAAGGTCATTAACATTTCTTTGAACACACCAATATACAACAAGAGCTGAGAGTTTTCCATAACAGCCCATCATTGATACAACTCAGATGAAAATTTCAATAGCAAAATGTGCTACCATCTAGGCATGGTCTATTGTAACAAGATATGATTCGATAACTGCAGACTCCTCTAAGTAATACTTCTTTGTAACAAGATGTGATTCGATAACTGCAGACTCCTCTAAGTAATACTTCTAGCAAGTAGAGGAGCAGTGGTTTCTCTTGTGAACCATTGGCTATGCAGAACTTTAAACTAGCATGTACATGCATGTAGTGAATCCCAAATTCACCATCAACATTTCTTCAATATGGTGGTGATCATGTGACTTCTTGAATGCCTGGTCACCAGGGAGTGCATTAATAGCTTAAAGAACGTAAAAAACAAAGCATCATTGTTCCTCTAAGATGGCACGCCCAAGAGTTGTAGCAAGAGCCAGCCTAACAGAGTTTAGTTCCTCAGCTGGCAAGTCAGCAGTGTCAAAGCTTGGACGAACACCTGCCACTGACAATCCTTGCAGTTTTTTCAACAAAATGTTCGTTTGAGAGACATTTTCCCAGCAGAGCAGTGTCAACCACAACAAAGAATCATCAACTAGCAATTAGACTGGCAAGCATGACTGCTTAAATAATCATGCACATTAAAGCACCATATTTTGTTTATTCATGCATTAGTTGTCAAAACAATAGCTTCCGGGTCAAAATTTGAGGGCTCCTCCCTGATATTTAGTTGTAAGACCTCCTAGCTGAATTGCAGCCCAATCCAACTATCGGATTGAATGTTATACCCACTATCATCATGCTGCGTTTCTGACCAAACTATCCTGCATCAAAATCGCTGAGGCAGGTTATAGAGTTATCTGATCAATTGGTGGAGATTAAGGAGAAAACTTTGGAGGATCATAAGGATAGTGATCGTGGATCCATGATTAATTTTAAGAACCCGTTTCAAAGGTATGGTTACAGGAAACAACCTCTTGATCAGGATATACAAGAGAATTTCAACAGCAGGAAAATGATGTTGAAGCTGAAATTTTTTTATGATTCTAGGTCCTTTATGGATGAGAATCAACCATCAAAATTCAATGAAGATGAGGAGGATGAAGTTGAATGAGAATATTATGATACATAAATATCGGTATGTGACAATCCTAAGTATAGAAATAATGTTCATGTTTGTCAAATGGTATCAAAAGCCAACAATTTAAAATTTCATTTTAAACCGGCATGAATATATTAATGGTTGCAGAAAAATAAGTTCAATGGTATGTACTTAATCAATCATTGAGTTCTTGCCAACCTCTCTATAGCCAAGTTGATCTAGTTGATAAGACCAATGCAAGAGCAAATGTTTCACCTACAAGAGAAAAACATTTATTTCTGCATTAAAACATCCGTCTCTTCATCACTATAAGATGCACCATACCAATCAACAAACAGAGGAAAAGACTGGACACTTTACCACAATCTCTAGCCAACCAACTGCTAGTGCCAGACAATATCACCTCCCAATATTTAGGATCATCCTCGATGACCTGCATAAAGCAATCATAGAAGATCCCACATTCATAAGAGAAAAAGGCAAGAGTTCACAAAGATCTTGACCCAGCATATAAAACATGTCATAAAAGTTGCACAAAATATCAATCTAAGAATTGATTCCCTATAACATGTCCAGCCATATTTCATTACATATTAACATTTTAAGCTGGACAAGCTTGCCAAACATCCAACATTCCCATAGGTAGCAGACATAAATTGATCACGGACGATAAAAGTTTATATACTAACAGGATTACATTTAGCAACATTGCCTGCCAGTTTTTCCATCAATGACATTGCAAAAACACATATACAAAGCACAAGTTTAACAGTTATGCTAGCAATTCATCACAAACTAAGCTAAGCAAAGAAAAAAATTAGGGCATTAAATAGAACTTTAATAAAATATATCCTGAATACAATCAAACCTGTAAGGCAACTAGTTTCCCTTGAAACTCCACAAGTTTCGAATGAACAGTCAGCTGATCACCTCATAATAGACTATCGCAATCCTGGCACAACCAGCAACAATAAGAGCAGAAAAATTAACAAAAGGGTTCAATCAAATACAACCCCAAAAAATCAAATGAAACAGAGCATAAATGATCAGTACCGCCAACCAATCGACAAGGCGTTCCGGCAACCAGCTCTGACATAATTTGTCTACATAAAACATTTCCATCAACTCCCATGCTGCCTCTAAACTCGTTGGTTCCTCAAATTTCTACAGAAAATGATCCACTTAATTAAACAATCAACCGCTATCTCTAAGCTACCAAAACAAACCAGCTGAGCCAAAGAAATTCACCTTCAAGACTTCTTTAGGGTCTTCAATTAAAGAACTATCATTTGACTTTGGATTCCCAAGTAGTGCATTTATGTCCTTGCTATACTCCATTACATACTCCCACCTAAATAAATTAATTTACCACATTTTTAATAAATAAAGAAAAATTCTCAGAGAAAAAAGAATTCAAAACTTGCCAGTCAAGATGATATGGAGAGGGACTTGATTGTAATTTAAAAAAACTCGAAACTGCATTCTTGCGGCTTTGAAGGAGCGAGAAAGGCGTGACGGAGCCGTAGGCAATGCGGCGCCAATGCTCGGCGTCTCTGACATCGGCTGCTCGGCTGCCCCGATCCACCTCCACAAATTTTTCCCAAAATTATCCATCCGAGTCGGAATCGGAAGGTAGATTGCGGAGTAACGAGTTGCGGAGATTGTTTCCTCGTGCCCAGGAGATTGAGACTCGAGAGATTGGAGGCTTTAGGCCGTTGTGAAGCGGTACACCACGGCAATTTCGGTGTCTCGCACGAATGGGAGTAAAGCGCCATCGCTGGCGAAAGTGGTAGAGTCCGCCACGACGCCAGGCATTTCGACGGAGAAGGGTCTTTTTATGAGAGAAGTAACGGTCCAGGGTTCTAAAGAGGGTTCGGAAGGAAAGCAGGACTCAGAGACTGTTAAGTGACCGTTTGGCGTTTTAACTCTAACCGTATGTTTTTTCTATACCCATTCTCAATTGAGTACGAAACCTATAAATCTTACCAATTGTGTCCTAACATTATACCCACATTTTTCAATACTACCCTTTCGGTTTTTTTTTGTTAATATTCCCGTTTAATGCGTGCGTGTATATATCAAAGAAAAATTGATAAAAAAAATAAAATTAACATTTAAGAAGAGGGCCTGGTTAAGAATATTTAGAACAAAATTGATAAATCTTATGGGTTTGTGACCTAGTTGAAAATGAATATATAAGATAAAGCATTTTTCCTTCGAGTAATTCACTCCCTGTAGAGCTGCAGGTTATTAAAATAAATTATAAAAATCATCTTGAGGCATCATAAAATTATATAATTAATGGCATAAGTGATTGAAAATTTGATAAAAGCCCCTCTCTGTATAAGAAAATATTACGAAAATCCACTTTTATACCCAAAAACATCCTTAACTACTATTAGATAAATAAATAAAAAAACTTGTTAAATTAAACAATAAAATTAATGGGTGTCATAACTTATCTTTAAATGGTGAATAATCGCCACGACACCATACCCCATACCCGTACAACAATAAACATAATTTATTATTTTAGTAAGCAAATTAGTTTGTATGCAACAAGACAGAAAGAGAGGGGTTAAATTTTTAAAAGTAAATAAAATTTGCAGGTATCATGAAATTTCTTTGGCATTGGAGTCAAAAAAAACCCAAACATACAATTGTTTTGAGTTTTCTCTTTGATAAAGATAAATTTATCTATCAATATATTTCTTATTTATTTTTAATTTGAAGTATTGTTTCTATTTTAAAAAATAATTATTAAAGCAAGTTAAAAAACTATATTAAAATAATATATCCATATTTTGTGTAATTGAAAGTTAATAAAATTATAAATATGATAAAATCATGTTCCAGATTTATTTAAGCATTCTAATAATAAACAACTTATTTCAATCAAAATTTCACAAGACATCTATAATTAGTATTCTTATTTTCAAATCAAATACATAATAATTGAAAACAAAATTAGTAAAATTTAAATAAAAAATTATAAATATTAAGAATCGTGTTAAAGTTCAAAAGTAAATACGGTAAATTCTTTCACAGAGTGGGGGAAAAAAAACTCAAAGGAAAAAAGGACAAAAAAAGAAGAAAAAGAAAAAGGAAAAAAGACAGCAAAGGGTCAGGTCTAGAGCCTGGCCTTGCTTTATTTTATTTTATTTTTTTATCGCTGCCCGCTTTTTTAAAATAATAATAATAATAATAATAATAAAACATGTTATTCATCACAGTTAAAAAAGATAAGTGCCCGCCCTGTCACTCTAACTCATGACCTTTTTGTTCTAATTCCCAGCTCAATTGACTCGGTTGTGGCTTGAATTTGTTACAAATAAATTACAAAAATATATTTAAGTGTTTTACTGCACAGTAAACCACTATAGAAACCCTAGCTATTTTAGTATTATAGTTAATAATAATATCAAATTTGTATTTAACTTTGGTCAAATTTAATCTTATCTTTCTAATATTCTTTCTCTAATTTTGTTGATGTGTTTTTAGTTCAAATATAATTATTAAAACAAGAATTAAGGCATTTTTAATTTAAAAAATAACTTTTTAATTTTATGTTACCTTGAACACTTTCTAATATTACACGAAGATTGAGAATAATGATGAGTATTCTAGAATATAGTTGTAAGAAATTAATTTAAGAAACTTATAATTTAGAATATGATTTGGGATGAATTACAAGTTAAGCCCTTAAAAAAAATGAAACTCGGTTAATTTAGCCAGGTTAACTTGTGATATACTTAACCGAATCTTATTTAAACTTGACCAAATTTACTCTAATAAGTATTTTTAAAAACATAAAACTATATTATTTTAATAACTAATTGAGATATCTTTCTGAGTTAGACTCTAAAACTCTATTTGATTATATGGTTACGTCTATATTTAGATGTGTCAACAGTCAATAATGTGTTTAGTTACCGACGGATCACATTTCTTTATATATGAGTCCCACACAAATATACATTTCAAATGCAGGAGCAGTAGAAACAAGTCTATCTTATTTTTATCGAGGCTACTATTCAAAAAATATAGAAAATAAAGAATGAGAATAAAGAAAGATGCTTTTAAATGTGAAGATTCTTATGATGGTTATGCTAGCATAGTAAGTTTAAATTAGTTAATATCATTATTTTCTTATAATATTTTTATATTAAATAAGTATGTAATGACATTATCTTATTACTATTTTAGAAAAAAATATGATAGCTAGTGTTGGAAAAGAGATATATTTCTCATATAAAACTTATTTAAAAAGTTACTTTATTTTGTGTATTATTTATAAAAAAAATATCTTTTAAATTTTAAATTATTTTCAAGAAAATACATAGAGAATAAATAAATAAATTTTAAATAAAAAGGTATTACCAATTAATTAGTTATATATATATATATAAAATCAATTTTGTACCTAACACTTTGATTTATATTTTGAAACTAGATGGTAATTATAAATAGGTTTTTGTGATATTTAGAATTGTGTTTTTTTAATGGAAACTATAGTTCTTGTATAATGAATTTTATATATGATGAAATTGTAAATAGTTTAATGAAATAATAAAAAATATTTTATATAAAGTATTATTTATTTCATGATGTATTAACAATAGTGAAATGTACAATATTTTAATTAAAAACTATCAATATTAATATAAATATTTTTTAGTTATTTTATAACCTTAATTTGAAAAGTATTTTTAACTAAACATATTATATTATTTTTTTGTTTAACTTTAATTTTAATTACAGTTTTAATAAAATATATATTTTTCTAAACTAATCTTAACTAAAAATATTTTTTAAAAAATATTTTTTTTAAAATTATAATTATAATAATTACTATAATACCAAACAAATATAGTTAAAACTGTGCAACCGAAACACAGTTTTAACCATATCTGAAATCTACGTTTTATAGCTTTAAAAAGTAAGGAAAAACAAATTCACAGCACATTGAAAGACTGATCATGGCTTTTATTGAAAGGTGGGCTCAAGCCCTATGTTACAAAGAGCACATTTTAGGGATTGACAGCCCACATACATCGTCAAGTTCTATTGCAAATATCAAGATTAAAATATTTCAGCTTGCTAGCCAGTCCGTCGTCAGCACCGCAGCTAGCTAGCCATCACATGATAAATGTGTCTCAATCGAACATGGCATGCCATCGCCTAGCTACCGTGAAAACGATCAAGAATACGCCCTAACTCAGCCTTTAGGACTGAAACAGGAACCGATACAACGAGCAGAGATATGGTGGAAGGCACTACCACTGTTGTATATTTCGAAACCGTCCTAGTGCTGGAAAGGACCAACCAATACAGTACAAAACTATTGGTAGTCTGTTGTTCAGTCTTTCACTAATGACATGTCCTGGTTATTGGCCATGATTTGAAGCTTTATTGCCTCAATGCAATGTTTTCTGTTGGAAGTGAGATCATCAAGCTCTCATCCATGGCCCCCTTTTTGCCACAATGACACACACACACACACACACACACACACACACTATTTGTCTCTAAAAATATCTGTCAGAAGACTAGCTACTAGTCCATATAATATGACAAAAACTCCAGTTTTTCAGCAACTCTGTTCACAAAAAACGCTTATCTGCACTCCTCGCAATAAAGGGCATGTCCGTCTGTCTCCCTAAGAGCTTAGCAATCTTGACATTTTCCTAAGCAACGCCAATTATTTTGTTCATAGCATCTACCCCAAAAAAGCCTACCTGAACAGACAGAATTTTAGCAAGATAAAAATCTGTAGGAAAAGTTTACCAAAACTTTCAGCTGGTTTAAAGATGCCAACACCTCCAAATGCTTTCGAAAATCAAACTCTAAACAAAATTTGTTGGATACTGATCTATTCAATGAGAAATACATCAACCCCTCAATAGGTTTAACCCTTTTATCTATCCCTTCTATTCAATTTAGTAGCCATATATATAATGTTTAGACAATGCTTTCAAACTAGTAACTGGTATTATCTTTATTAATTAACCCTTTTATCTATCCCTTGTCTACCACTAAAAGCTTTTCAATTTCCATGGCCTTAACGTAAAGAGTGTCTTTCTTTTATCCCTTGTCTCCTCTTATCTTATTCAATCATCTATTTATCATCTGCCATCTCTTTCCTCTTTACTTGGAAGGGGATTAATATGCATAATAGATGTGCTGGCTCCTAATTCTGCTGGACCTATTCGGGTGTTGTTCCATGAAGGATTTCTTTCAGTAATCAAAAAGAGCATACGAAGGATATATTGAGGAAACAAGAGACAAAGGGTACTAATGATTAGAAACAGTAGCCAAGACCCAGAAGGAAAACAAAATCTAGAACCAGCTATCTTTAGGGGTGATTATTTTCTATTCGGTTTGGTTTTTACATTAAAAAATAAACCAAACCGATATTATTAATTTTTAAATTTTAAAACCGAAAGCGAACCGAAACTGGTTCGAATCAATTGGTTTCGGTTTGGTTTGGTTTTTGTTGTTCAAAAACCAATAAAACCAAAAGAAAATCTCGGTGCCCAGTACCCACAAACTCCAACTACAAGCAAATCTCGATATCCAGTGCTCACAAATTACAAGCAAATCTTGATTTCTGTTGTTCAAGAACACAGATCTCCCCACAAACTACAAGGAAATTATAATATAATAATAAAAAAAAAACAAAAACCCACAAAATGCATACTGCAGAAATGAATTGAAATGGAGTTAAAAATTTTAATCATTAAAAAGTCATCTCTTTTTTTATCTGCCCATGTAATTTAATTAAAGTAAATATTAATGCAAGGATGAACTTAAAGAGATGAGATGAGAGATAGAAGGAAAAGGAGGAGGGGCTACGAGGAGATGAAAGGCATGGAGAAAAAGGGGAAAGGGAGAGGAGGGCTAAGAAAAGATGATGAGAGGCAGGGAGGAAAAGAAAAAAAAAAAAAAAAAAGGGGGGTTGTGAGACGATGATGAGAGGTAGAGAAAAGGGGGCATCAACTGTACTTTAGATGTAGTGTTTTTTTTATTTATACTTGTTTTTTTTTTAATGTTGGAATAGTTAAACCAGTTTGATTCAGTTCGATTTAATCAGTTTCAAATTTTAAAAACTGAAATCAAATCGAACTAGAATTTTTTTATGATTTTTTAATTGATTAATTCAGTTTTTTTTCCGTTCAGTTTTTTCGATTATTTTTTTCTAATTTTTTTGATTTATTTAGTTTATTGGTTTTTTTCTCATCGCTAGCTACTTTTACAATGTCCACTCATTCAATACAAGATGTTACAACTATCAATATAAGATTTCTCATAAAACGGAACATAGAATTAATGAATAATCATCATAATCTAGAAAAAGTCAAGGTCACCGTACGTGTCTCTCAGAGGACTAAAAATGTTTTTGGGGCACTTTGATTCACCATACGGGACCCCTATACCATGTTATTGATTGATTTTCACATTTTCTATTATTGTAATATATCTTGATTTCCATGTAGTTAGAGTAAATTAATGGATTAGCATATGTATTGATGTCCTCTCCTTGACGGTAAAAGGTGGCAGTTCTTATACTATATTGCATTCAAACAAGTTAAAATGTAGTTATAGAGACAATATTGGTTACAACAACATTAACCTATGATTGTATTTACAAATCGAATGATCTTTCTTTAATGTAGCATCGATGAAGGTAAACCCTAGCTAGCTAATCAATGCCCATGAAGACATTTAGCCGACACAAATACCTATACCATCTTCAGCCATATCATCCTCCCCAACATAAGCTGCCAAATTCAAATACCTTTCTTCATCATTTCTGTCTCTCCACCTTGCTCGACAAATCACACAGCTAGCTGCCCTCCTCCCCTTACTCCTCTTCCACTTCATCAAGCATTCTGCATGAATAACATTCCTGCATGTTCCACAAGCCGCCACCTTCTCTCCCTTCTCCATCTCTTCAAGACAAACCGGACACTTTGTCCCGTCTTCAACCTCAACACGAGGTCTCAAAACACCATGCCTTGTCTGAAAGAACAACTGATGGAATCTCTCACGAACGCTAGACCCTGCCAGCGCCTCTGGCAAGGTAGGAGTCCCAAGCAGGCGATTAAGCTGGCAAGTCCTAAGATTCCTCCTTCGAAGACATGCATCATCAAGAGAGACGCCCAATACACGAATCAAAACAAATAATATATGCTTGCATGGTGTTGTCCGATCAGGGCACGAGCACGTAGGGGTTGCACTTAAGGTCACGGTGTAGACATTCCCTGTCGCACCCAAGATAAAAAAGTTGGCTTCTGATCGATGGAGAAGGCGAAGACGGTGACGGATGGCTCGAAAAATGCGGTCTGCCACCGGTTGGCTTGGCTTAAGCCGTAGATGAAGACGGTTGCGGTGGCGGTAGTTGGAGTCAGGTGAGGATGTAGATGAACCATCAGAGCCAACAGATTCCATAAGAGAAATTAAGGGAAGGAAGATATTGGCGGGGTTGCAAATTAAAATGTGAAGAGAGGAAGGTGTTACTGTTTGTTAGGGGTTCAGGGTAACGTAAAGGAATTGTAATCAATATAACGTGGCTCAGATTCCTTGTCTAGTTTTGGAGTGCAAGTGAGGGATAGCGGGAGTCTAGGAAGGAAAATAGTGAAAGCCAAGGAATTCCAAACTTTGACTTGCTCATATCGTGTTTCTCCATTTAACCCTCTCTCCCGCCCTCTCAAGGCACGTGACATATATATATATATGCTTCTACTGCATCAGAATTATTCTGATAAACAAACTCGCTTTTCACTTAAAATAAGATTTGATAGGGTACAATATGTTATATAAACCTCCGAATATATTGATGTTTATCTTTATATTAACTTAGGAGATATATTTTTAAAATTATTTTAAAACAATTTAACTTTTCAAATTCAACTCTAATTAATTAAAAAAATTAAATCAAATTGATTATGCTAAGTTAACCACTGAGTGAAAATAAAATAAATTTTAGATTTTTTTTTATACCTAGCCAATTTTTTAAATTAATATAATTATCTAGATAATTTTATATTTATTTTGATTAATTTTATAAATTCTAAAATTAACAATCATATAAATTTTTAATAATTTTAAAATTTATAAAACTTGAATTAATAATCCCTAAAAACTAAACCTAAGATATAATCAATTCAACAATATCCCTCAAATCAATAATTATATATCATGTGCATGAGCGAGAATTTTTTGCATAGCGAATTCATGCCGGTCGATTTTTAAAAAATAAAATGAGATAGGACTCCGAGGATTGGTACTTCTTGTCCAAACGCTGCGTTTCAGTTCTGGGCCCTTCAGGAGTGAACAGGTTTAAAACGACGTTGTTTAGTCTTATATAAAGTTTATTTTAGGTCTGTTTTATCTTCTTCACCTGGTTTTTTTACCTCTGCACAGCTCTCAATCTCTAGCTAGGAGAGTAGGCTAACCATGTGGGGTGTGTCGAAAAACCCATCTCAGCTTTCAAACAAGGTACTTGAAAACCTTTACCCTTCATAGTTTCCTTCCTTCATGTCTCCTCTTTTCAAATTCATGCTGGTTTAGTTTCAAATGCTTGAAAAGCTCATGTCTTTACGTTCTAAAGTTGTTTTCTTTGTAAGCTGAATTGTTCTCTTAGCTTTATCATCTGTAATTAATTATTTTTTTATAGAGCTAATACTCGTTTCTCTCAAATGGGTACCTTCTGCTTTCTTGAAAAAATCAAAATTTGGCTAAGTGATGGTACTACGCTCACTTAAGTGGAAGCTATTTTTATTTTTATTTTTATTTTTATTTTTTTGAGCAATAAACTAAATTCAATGGTGTATGATAGGATTTTTTTTTTTTAATCTTGGTTTGATTAATTGAATTTGCTAAATGTATATAATCAGAAGCAGGAAAAAGGAGGCTTAGCAGAGAGTTTTAGGCCAGAAAACTTCATTCCGGGCCTTATCATTGGTTTCATTTTTGGCTTGTTTTTGGATTTGTCAAACCCTTCAAAAAATCAAAAAAAGAAGAAGAATTTTTTGCCTGGAAAGTCCCAGCAGCAATGTCTGGAAGATGGTGACAAGGAGCTTAAAATGGTTTGTGTTAAAGTATCTATTGCTTTCTTTCAAGTATCTATTGGTTTCTCCACTGTATCTGTTAGCTTATCTAAATAATTAATGGATGAAATTCTACTGCAACAGATGGTGTTTTGGTTTAAAGTCAATGCCAAGGAAGGCATTTAGGTGGCTCTAGTTTGATTTCTTCAACATATTTAGGAAAATGTAGCTAATGTTGGCTGAATCTGATCGCCATTGCTATATGAATGTGGTTTTGAAAGCACTGGCGGCAACAATCACCATCAATGGTTGCATGCCTATTGACCTGGAAGTTGTGGAGTCAAAAGCCATTCAATTTGGTCAATCAAGCTCTTTGCAAATCGTTTTAATGTTTGTTTTTTTTTTTTGTTCCTGCCAATTAATTTGGTCACTTTAAAGCCATGGTCAAGAATTTGGGATATAAAAATTGATAGTGTTAAAAACAGACTACTTTATGTAGATAGCCTGAACCTGTTTCGAAATAGATTTAGATTGTTGTGAACCATAGCTTCAAGTCTCCAAATGTCAAGTGATAACCCAGATGCTTGTCTTTTTTGCCTACCATAATGGTGTCCACCGTCTAGTAGCTTACATTAATTTTTATCTATACCTGCATTTAGTGGGAGGATGCAATTGATCATATAACTAGTTCTGGTTTATGTATTCAGTTTTTTTTATTTGTTCTGGATGTCAAATAGTTATTTGATGAACTGTGGAATTGCTAATGGCAGGTTTTTGTAGTCAGACAAGACCTGAAGATGGGTGCTGGAAAAATTGCATCTCAGTGTGCACGTAAGACGCTTCAATTAAGATTCAGTTTATGAAGTTTTGACCTATGGCTTTAGAATTTCCTTTGCTCTTTCCTGCAAATTGCTTTATCATTTATCTGATTGAACTGGTTTGTGTACTTGCAGATGCAGCCACTGGCATGTATTCAGAGCTGATTTATAGGTATGCAGGTTGTGATAATGAGGATCTGTTTAACTCTAATACGTTGAGAGGTTTTTCATTTGTTCTTCCATGTGTATTCTATTATGCTGTTCTAGAGCACGTGAGCACTTCTTCACCAGAAGTAAAAAGATGAAGGCTTGAATGAACCATTTAAAGGACTTGAAGAGCTTCAATTAAAATAGATAATTAATTAGGCGTCATGCCCTTTCAATCCCAAAGGTCAACAAAAATATCTTTTACGAGTATATTATCATGAAATAACTGGTTTGTGATCGACTCTGGTTAATAGATGCCCTGCCATGTATTTTTATTAACTATCTGTTATTATTTGAAGTCACACTGTTTTTGTATGCTTTGCAGCCACCGGATTCTCTTGAGACAATGGGAGCAATCTGGACAGCCCAAAATAGTTGTTACATGCAAGAATCAACAAGAAATGTAAGTAGGCGAATTTATTTGAATAATGCAATTGTTTCAGAGTTGCCAAATGTTCATTTATTATGCTAAAAATCTCCTCGCTGTCTAACTCATGAAGCACCATTTCACTCCTCATCAGGAACAAGATAAGGGAAGCAGCTGAGAACATTGGCCTTCCAACTTTTGTTGTTGCTGATGCTGGACGAACACAGGTAAACTTATGCATGACATAATTTGTGATTAAGATTCATCTTAAAGTAGCCTGGATACAATTAATAATAGTGAAGAAGCAGCAAATAGAACTTACAATTAAGATTCATTTAGGTAAATTATAGCCTTTACTTATCAAGCTTTGAAGAAATTATACTTGAATTGACACAATTCAAGAACTTGATCTTGCAGCCACATGATTGTTTGATGTAATTTGAGAACAAAGAGCTTGGTTTCTAGTGGTAAACTTGGAAATATGTTTCAACTTCAGTGCATAGTGCTTGTCTCTCTAATATTTTGCAAACAAATTTAAGTCTGCAATTCGATTTTGATGAAGTTAACTTGCGTAATTTAACTTCCAAGATCCTTTGTTTTGCACAGGTTTCAGCTGGGTCGAAGACTGTTCTTGCTGTTGGACCTGGTATGATTTTCTTTTTGCTGCTAAACTTGTTTAGCTGTTACCTTTCTGTCACTTGGTATCGTCGATTTAGTACCTGCATTCTCAACTAATTAAGAGATTCAGATTCCATAATGTCTTATGTAAGATTTTAAAACAAATTTCTTTCCTTTCACTTGTTATCATAGATCGACTGCCTATATGCTCAAATAAATTGACAAAAAGGATTTCCAAAATGTCTTACAGAAGATTAGATTGTAAAACAAGACCTGTGATCAAGAACTCCCAATCTGAGTTGTTGCTCAATCATTTGACTTTTTTCTTCTTGGTTCTATGAACATCTACCAAAATATAGAAAGAATAGACATTCAAGTCACAAAATAGCTGACCCTACTTGTTTTGGGCAAAGCTGGTTCCACCCAACAAAATGACAGTAATTATGTTTTTATTCCTGAGCAGGGCCAAAAGAATCAGTTGATTCAGTTACAGGAAAACTGCGGCTCCTCTAATGTCATGGAAATAAAAGATTGCCTCTCTGGTCAAATCTCTGAGGTGACCTGACCCATTGTCTTTGCAACTAATTCTTTCTCATTTCATATTCTCGAAGGAGAGAATTTTTCCTCGTTGATTGCCTGTGGAAATGTTCAAGGTGGAATAGACCATGCTGCAAGCAGTTGCCTATTGAGATGTCTTTTTACAGCCTTTTTCAACGGGAGGAAAAATGCTTATACTTGAACATATTGTTCCAGAAGCAGGTGGTTTCTAGATCGACCGATTGTTTGCTGGGAGAAATTGAGGAATGGAAAGCTGATCTGTTATCTTTTTGTTTCCTTTGTATGTATATAAATGGTAGGTGTAAGCTTCATGGCCGACACTGTACTCCTAATCATTACAACTGATAACATTTGTCTTGGGCTACATAATAGAAGTAGTCTTTCCCCATTACCTAATAACCATATAATCCATAGTTACCAGGACTTAAACTTGCTTCATTGAAAGGAACTATCTATGCATATTATGCATGAATAGGAGCCAAAAGGGAAACAAATTAATATTAGCCAATTAAATTTCTACCTCCGGGACTTAAACAAATGAATATTAACCAGCAATGGTTCTGCCACCAGCAACTCTAAGATGCAATGCCGTTGAAGCTGACTTGATGTTTGTAAACAAAGTAGGTAAGGTGGCCGCAGTCCATTATTAGTGTTTATTTATTTTTGCAGTTAAAACTCTTTTTTTAAGTTGCTTTTCATTTGAAAATACATTAAATTGATATTTTTTAGGTGTGTTTTTATGATTTTAACATATTGATATTAAAAATAAAAATAAATCTAAAAGAATCACAACTTTAATCATTAACCATTTAATCTATTTATTGAATTATAGTTAATTAATTAAAGTTGTGATTTTTTTAGATTTATTTTTATTTTTAATATCAATATGTTAAAACCATATCAATATGTTAAACAAATGAATATTAACCATTGCTGGTGGCAATGGTTCTGCCACCAGCAACTCTAGGATGCAATGCCGTTGAAGCTGACTTGATGTTTGTAAACAAAGTGGTAAAGTGACTGCAGTCCATTATTAGTGTATATTTATTTTTGCAGTTAAAACTCTTTTTTTTAATTGCTTTTCATTAAAAAATACATTAAATTGATAATTTATAGGTTTTTTTTATATTTTAATATATTGATATTAAAAATAAAAATAAATCTAAAAATATCACAACTTTAATTATTAACCATTTAATCTATTTATTGAATTATATATATATATATATGATGTTTTTACACTATGCATATGACTCCATTTCAAAATCCGAAAATGCAGCACCATCCAAGAGGTTGGCAATGATTAACAGGGGAAAAAAACGGCACAATAACATGCTTTCTTCTAGCCTTTTTTTTTAAAAAAATATATAATGATAGCATGTTTAATTGTTTATTTTAAAACATGGATTAAATTTATCTTATTTTTATTTCATTTTGGAGTCCATGTTCCATTCTTTACCTGCACCAATTACTTAATAACTAAAATACGTGGGGGTGAATATTGTACAAGTGGTATTATTTAACCTCTCATGAAATATTGTGAATAACGCTATTTATTTTAATCTTTAAAATTTTATTTTGAACAATTTAATCTTGATTAAAGGCAAACTACTTTAAATTTTATAGGCAATGGTAAAATTAGAATAACAAAGATCAAAATTAAAAATGTGCCAAACATAGAAGGTATGCTAGAAGTTTTAAAAAAGATACACTTTGATCTTATAGCTTTAAAATAACATAAATTATATGATTTTAGTGCTTTAATTTTTTAAAATTTAATTTTAATATAAAAGTTCTTTTTTGTTATTTTTAATCTTTAGTCGAGAAAGGAGAGAGATGTCATTGGATTCCAGCAATAAAAAGAGATGTTATTGGATTGAAAAAAAATCGGTAACACCGATTTAAGCCACCAAAATAGCCGATATGCTCAATGATTTCATTTGATTAAAAAAGTTCATGTTATGGTTTTTTTATCTTTAAAATTTATGAAAAAACATATCTAAGCTCAATTTGGTTTTTGGTTCCAGGTTAATTTCAGTTTTTGGGATGGTTTTTTTATTTTTTTAGTTTGTTGATAGATTTATCATTGTTTTTAAGATGTTTTGGGTCAAATATAGGTTGAAAAACATATTTTTAAGTAAAAAAACATGAGCTCTAATTTTTTGACTACAACAATAGCCAAGATCCATGCAAATTAGATTAGACTAAGCGTTGTTTGATTTAAAAAAGAAAATTACCATTCTTCCTAATTGTAATTAAAAAAGAGCTCATTCACACGGGCCTTAATGAAATGAGCTAAACGGGTTAACTTGACTTGTTAGGTTTAAAAACCCCAAACTTTTTTTTTCTTCTCTTTTTTTCTTTTAAATTTTGTTTTTTTTATTTTTTTAAATAATGGTTTTTTTATATGGTTTTTCTCTCTAAATTTTTAACTTATGTTTCTATTTCTATTATTGTTTACTTAAATAAAAAAATATTTTAATAAAAAATTTAGCAAAACCAAGTAAATAAATATCTCAACTTATAAGATTAAATATCTTAATTTATATTTATCTCTTAATTTTTTTATTTGTTTAGTTATCATTTATATATCAAATATCTGGCAATAATCTAGTGTTTTTTGCTCCATTGGAAAGGAGATTGTTTTTGTTTTCTATTTTTTTTTTAATTTTGAGAATAAAAAGCAATTTCAAATTACTCTAAAATCACAATATTTTTTTATCAATTTGGATATAAATGATTTGTGGCAAAAGAAAAATGAGTGAAAGGGACCTGTTCATAAAAAAAAAAATCATTATTTTCCTTAAAAAAATCACAATATTTTTCTGTGAATGCTAAATATGTGAAACGACACGGTTCTCGCTCCTCAGACACAAACAAACTGATAAGAAAACTAAAACCCCACTTTGAACCCCAAAACTGAAATCCCCATTGAATTTCCAAAAACCCTAAACCCCACTCACAACATTTCATTTCTCTTGTCTTCAAAAAAATGGCGTCTCGCTGCAGGTCTCTCTCAAAACCAACTTTCTCTCTTCTCAAATCCACCACCAACAAACCCACCCTTCAACCCAAATCCACACCTTCTCTTCTCCCTGCACGCCCTTCTCTCACATTTTCGAGGTAAGCAATCCCTTTAAAAACACCTTTTCAATTTTGTTCAAGAAGTTCAAATCTTGACTATTATGCCTTGCAATTTAGTTCTTTTTCTCAAATGGATTTTCTTTAAATCAGAAAGATTTTAAACTGACTGTTGGGGATTGCAATTTAGGTTATTTTCTGAAATGGGCTCTCTTTAAATTTGAAAATTTCTTAAATTGTGACTGCTGGGTTCTGAATTTCAGGCCAGTTCCTCAATTGGGTGCTATTCAATCTCTGCTTCCATTTCACTCGGCTGTCTCTTCAGCTAGGCTCACGTCATGCCTCAGCATTGATTCAAGGAGCTCACGGTCGTTGTCTCAGGGTATGCTTTGCAGTGCGAACCCTGGAGTTTGATATTCTCCGAATGTTTTAGTTTTAGTTTCTGTAAGCAACTTTTTTACTCTACAATTAGTTCATGTCTCTATTTTGAATAGGGTTGCCTGGTTTTGTTTGTTTGTTTGTTTTATCTTATTTTCATTTCTTTTAAAATGTTATTTGGCTTCTGGATTTTGCTATTAACCATACCATTCCAAAGCGAAAAACTCAATAAATGCTGTTTCTCTAGTGTGTCAACTGGTAACTCTGTACAATTGGTTGTTTGTAGCTCATCAACCGAGTACATTTTGTGGAGGTTTTTTTTTTTTTTTGAATTGAGGTTTCCAATTTGATGCAGTAAATGTTGCCTCTTGCTGATCTCATGAACATTTGAAGATCAATTTTTTTTTTTCATAGCAAAGAAATTTCCCAACATATGTGGTAATTCTACGTGATACATTTTGTAATTATCATTTTTCCATGTCCTTGTAACTCTCCTTTCTTTCTGTGTTGTATATGTAAAGTCCTCGGACAGTGTAGATTTTTTATGCTTGTGATGTTGTGGTGTTAGAGGTATTCATTAGGCGCAACAATATAAGCAAGTTCACCAACAGTTCGAGGTATTTGTTGTGGGATAGGGCTGTTCCTTTAACCTCCCTGTGGAGCAAAGCATCCCTGCTGTTGTTGGTGTGAATAAGATTGCAATTTCAATTCCCTTTTCTACCTTTTCTTTCTTCTTGAGGACAATGTCTTATACCCTCCATGCTGTATCTATTTATGCTTCCCATGAATTATATTTCCTCTTTTGTCCCCTAAAAAAATTCCCCAAGGGTGTAGCCTGAAAGCATTCTCTAGTGTACTTTCCTGTCATTTTTTTTCCTAGTGAAAGGATTAAAGATTTCTTGGTGAAACATGAAAGTAAATAGCCATTTGGAATGTCAAGGCCAAAAAGGTTGACAGATTGTGCTTCTTTTCTGAGATAATTTCCTGTCATGTTTTTCTCTCAATGATTCTAGATAGGATTAATATTTTTTTTGTTATTTTTGGAGTTTAACTTTCCTTGGAAACTATGAAATGATTGCGAGTCTCCATGATTAGTGGCAGAGGCACAAGGAACCAGTAACTTTATATTAAGGTCAAAACAAACCATAGGTGTGGTACCTAGATTTTGAGCTATAAGTGTTCCAAGATTGCTTTACTAGTTGTTGCTATAAGAAGCTTTACATTTCTGTAAAATAGAAATATTGGCATTTTATTTTTAATTTGGAGAATCCAGCGTATTGAAGCTTTATCTAGCTCTCTTCATACACTATTTCAAGTATTTCGGTGAAGGTTCAAATTTGTGTTTTTTGTTAAAATAATCAGCACCACCACTGAGCCTTGAGGTTGATATTACACTTGTAATTCAAAATTTCCAACCCATGTGCATTCTTAGCGCAAATGGATTTGTTCGACTGTTCAGTCCATGTGTCTCTCTGGTAATTAGCTATTTCTTTGAGCTCATTGTTAATTATATGTTTACTATTTAGGTATGCTATTCTTCCCCTTTTCTAAAAAGTCTCGGTCAATGAAGGATATTATAATGTTGCACAGGTTTGAATTGTCCTGTCCTATGTAATGCAACTACCCCGCTCTTTCCATGTTTATTATGATGAATGACTGCATTATAGAATGTTTCTTTGTTAATTGTTGTATGTTGAATGAATTCCATGAGGTTGTTCAACTCACCAATTCTTTAATTAATATGTTTTCTTTGCCATTTTATTCAGAACTAGGTCTCAGCGTGCCTCGATAAGGATATGAGTTGCAAGAAGATAATAGCTGATGGATTGAAGTCATTGCTTCTTGTGGCTATTTCCTTTTCAATGTCTAAACATAATCTGAAAGGGTCATAGGTGCAAGATTTTGAAATTTTTGTTGGATTTCATGTATCTTCTCAT